CGTTTCGCCAGCACTGTGACCGGCATCTTCAGAGTGCAGGAGCACAGACAGGAGCAGTTCTCTCTGTGCCCAGGGTGAAGCACTCTGCACTCTGAAGATGCCGGTCACAGTGCTGGCGAAACGTTAGGAAACAGAACTTCAAGAACACGGCCACACAGCCCAGAAGACCCACACCAGCCATCAAATGGTCCACTATTTTTTTTATTATTGCTTTTCCTTGGACTGCCAACTGATTGCATGTCATCATCACTGTTGTCAACTCTTAGCAACCACACAGATAGGTTTTCTGCATGGCGATCTGTCTCTAACCTGGTCTTCCAACTGCCAAAGGATAATTTTAATGATTTTTTTTAAAAAAAGATAAAAAGATAATGAAAGATAATAGACAAATGCATCAAATAATATTGTGGCAGTCTAAATTCCCCAAAGGGAAATGGAGTTCGGTTATACCTTGGCCTGGAGTTTTCTGATGGGTTCTGAGAGAACCACACTTCTGATAGCCAAAGCAATCTGGATCTATTTGCTTCCCCACTGGAGCACAAACCTGGTCTGGTTCTTCCTATCTGAGCTGACTCTACACAGGCAAACATAAATTCAAGTCATTTGCTGACCTCATTTACAACAAAATTGTTTTATGTGCAACCCTGTGCCCTTGCCAAATTAAGAAGGGCCACTTTTCCTGATATCTAAGGAATTATCATACCTTTCTCACCATTACTATTTAGCATTATCCTAAGGCTTTCCACAGGATTCCACAGAATTCTTCCTCTTAGATGTTAAAAAACCCTTCTAACTTCTAGGGTTGGTATTCCAGAATCTGGCAGAACTCTAGAATCTAAAGAAATCTTTAAAAGAAGGGACTTCTCAGAAGACACCTAAGACTAGATTGTAGGAATCACAGCAGGTTCCTTCAAACTTTCAAAGCCCTTTAGAGATACGGTATACTGCCAATATTTCATCTGTAACTACAGTGGTACCTCGGGTTACGAACGCCTCTACTAACGAACCGGATCCGCGGCCATTTTCCCTGCTGCCACGCGGTCGCGGCTTCCTGTGGGTGAGGTTGCGGTAGCATGGAGATGTTCGGTGAGGCTTGTGGTGTGTTTTGTGGTGTTTTGCGAAGGTTT